CTCTCTCTCTCTCTCTCTCTCTCTCTCTCTCTCTCTCTCTCTCTCTCCTTCCTCCCTCCCTCCAGGGAAAAATATTAATAAATAAGGCCATGAATATAATTATTAAATACATAATAAACACATTTACTCACTGTTATAGGTGATATTAAATCCTCGGCCTGACATTGAATGATCAGCTTGAAATTCCAAGCGTAAAATGTGGCTGTTACTAGTCAGATGGGATGGCACTTCAGCTCCAGTGAATGTGCCAAGGATTGGAGAATCAGGAGAATCACCGTCTTTAATTGCAAGAAAGTCAAACTGAGATTCCAGGTCAAAATCATTGAAAGAAAGGTGAATGCGACTTCCAGGGTCTGAGATGATTGTCCAGATGCAATTCAAATTATTCCCATATCCTTCTGGGTAGTCAGGAGAAAGAACAGTTCCCATCGGCGCCGTGAAATTAGATAGGCAAGGAACTGTCAAAAGTCAGGAAAGAAATTAGAAAAGAGATAAGAACCCAATTAAAATTGACTTTCTGAGCCCTTTCTCCCAATATTTAGAATAGAATAACAGAGTTGGAAGGGACCTTGGAGGTCTTCTAGTCCAACCCCCTGCTTAGGCAGGAAACCCTGTACCACTTGAGACAAATGGTTATTCAATCTCTTCTTAGAAATTTCCAGTAGTAGAGCATTTACAATTTCTGGAGGCAAGTTGTTCCACTGATTAATTGTTCTAACTATCAGAAAATTTCTCCTTAGTTCTAAGTTGCTTCTCTCCTTGATTAGTTTCCACCCATTGCTTCTTGTCCTGCCCTAAGGAGCTTTGGAGAATAGCTTGACTCCCTCTTCTTTGTGGCAGCCCTTGAGATATTGGAACAGTGCTGTCATGTCTCCTCTGGTCTTCTCTTCACTAGACTAGCCATACCCAGTTCCGGCAACCGTTCATCATATGTTTTAGCCTCCAGTCCCCTAATGATCTTGGTTGCTCTCTGCATAAGATACAGTACAAATACTGAAAGTTTGAAGACCAAATATTGTTTGGTGAGACCATAAAAATGTTTCAAAAAAGATTTTAGTTTAAAATAGTTTTTCAGTAATATATGCATACAGTAAGTTAGAAATTATTGGAATATATTAATTTATACTCACAAATGCATATAGGTATATTTGCTGACCACTGGTTATTCTCTTGACAAACAATAGTTTTTTCTCCAATCAATTCAAATCCAAACTGGCATTCAAACCTCAATACATCATGATTGGAAAACCCATCTCCTTCTCTGATGCCATACAAAGGTGTTCCTGGATCTCCACAACTTTCTTTTTCAATTTCTGTTTTAAAAGACACAAGTTATCAATTAATAAATTAATGATACACATTTGAGGCTATCTTAAGAATATGAATTGAAATGCAAGTATCATAAGATACTGACTGTAGCACTAGCACCTCTTATCTGAAAAGTAGAAAACGGTGCAAATGAACATGCACATCCCATGAAAAAAGAAAGTGCTTTAAGATTTACATTGCCAGAATTATCATGCATGTATAAATTATCTCAATTACTACTGAAATAATTATTTTAGTTCGATCCATGATGGGTTTTCAGATAATTCATCACCTGAAATTATTAGAAGCCCCAAGATGAATTCCTATTTGTAATCAGATCTAATTACTGCATTGGATCCAATGAGCATATCAATATAAATGAAATATGATGTATCTCCAAATTAGCAACTCACATGAGATATTTCTCTTCCTCACACTACATGCTTTACTGAGCAAATTAAAGTGTGTAGTAGATGCTTTACTTTTGTTTTAGGAGAACAAGAAGACAAGAAATTCCAATGGTACAGGAAAAAGCTTTCAAGTGATTGTCCTCAAATCTATGTAAAATCATTATTAAACTAACTAGATCTCTTTATAATATAAGGAGAGGCATTAAAGGGAAATGGAAAGCAGAAAAAAAGATTGATTAGTCTGAAGCATGAGGAAAAAAAACACAGAGAAAGAAAAGAAAGAGAAGAATAAATTCTATTTTATCAATTATATTTCTCCAACAATGGGAAGGATCTACATACAACTATAATCTTATATTTTGTTCAAAATAACCTTGGCCATTTGGACAAAAAGCCACACTTTCTTTTGATATCTCTTCTTCCCACATGTATCCTGATTGCATTTTTGACATTATGATTATGATTCTCCAGTTTAACAACTGCATTTCCATGTATTTCATTCCATATATTAATAGTTGTAAAGCTAGTTGTTCTGCTAAAGGACACATTTATTCAGAGGTAATTTAGAAGTCCATTGAAATCATTAAAAAAAAAAAACACCAACTAGATGGAAACAGAAAGACCATGCTATTTCCAGCAGTCAAGATCAAGATAAGCAGGGATTAACACGAGAGAAACAATCAGAAACAATATTATAGTCAAGGAACAACCAAGAAGGGGAACCCTCCCAATGCAAGTAGAGAAAACTACTGTATATAAACAGGAAGCAAACCCCACACTCTCTAACATTGCTAATGTTACCTAGTCCAATAATAAAATGCCTGCAAGCAAACAAACAAGCTCAAGGAGCATCAAAGACTCCACTGAAGCCACTTTGAATGGGAACAGAATTAAAAGGTGTCAAGACATAATATCATCTCCCCCTCCATCTCCTCCTCCTATTCAGCAAGTTGAAAGAGAAGATACTTGACTGAATCAATTGTCTGAAGATTGCAGGCTGTCTATCCTGCTCTAAGAAAGCCATATGGGAAAATAAGAATAGTAATCAGCTATATTCCATTTATTTTGTTAAAAAGAGATATTAAGTTTCATTTTTTAAAAAAGACATCCTTCTTCCAGCTAGGTTGATAGCATGGGATCTGAGCCCTGGGGACCTGAAATTCATTTGTATAGGGATTTTTTTTTTGAGCGGGGAGTAAAATTATTGAAAAATAAATAAGCAAGACAGTGGGATTCAAATTTTTTAAACTACCGATTTTGTGGGCACGGCTTGGTGGGCTTGGTGTGGCTTGCTGGGCATGGCAGGAAAAGGATACTGCAAAATCCCCATTCCCTCCCCACCCCACTAATTTGATTTCCAGCTCCGTTCTCCTGTGCAGGGCAACAAAAGAAGACCCAGCCAATCAGCTGGGACTCAGGAGGCAGAGAATAGATGGGGGCAGGGCCAGTCAGAGTGGTATTTAATAACCATCACTGATGTTTGTGTAAGTCACCTAACATAAGAGACTATATTCCATGTGCATTTTCTAAATAAAATAAGCAGAAATGAATCATTCAACAGGTGTGGAGAATTGTGATAATTCAGAACTGAGTTATAGCCAGAGGAGACAAGATTCTTTGTTATTATTGCATTTTTTGTATATATATTCTTGCCAGAAAGAGTGTTGGCTAAATAATGAGGTTGGTTTGAAAACTGGTAACAAGTTGTTGGAAATATAAACTCTCCTGTCTAATTGAAAGACTGAATTAGTCTCCAATAACTTTTAAGTTTGGATCTATGTTGAAATATGGTCCTTATTGCTTCTAATCAACACTTCCTTACCAGTCTCACTTTGGCAACCAATAAGCAGTAACTGAAACCATTCACAAGAGAATTTACAAATTGTTAGCATTGGCTGTGCTGAACCAGCCAATAGCTAGAAATGTTATTTATGAGGCTGCTCAAATTTATCATTTTTAGCTGGGAATCATGGAATTATGATAATATTGGAGCTTCTGAAGGTGAGTCAGGGCCAGGAGATGTAGTTTTATATGAATTCAAAGAAACATTTTAAAATGATTTTTTTCCCCAGTTTTATTGTCTTTTATGTCTCTTAATTATTTTGAAAAGAGCTAAATCTATCAGCTTTCAAGGATCTATTGCAAATAATGGAACTAAAATTAGCTCTACTTTATTTAAAAAGGATAAGCTTGGGGAAAGCTCTTTGAAGGTACAGAAGTAGAAAAAAAGTAGAACATTTCATCTATTTAGGGGGTTCAAAGGTTAGAAGAAAAAAAAGTGGAATAGACTCTGTGCATAAGTAATCAAGGTACCGAGAGTTTGGTTCACAGAAGACTGAATATTCTTCTAACATGCTGAATATTTAACGCTTATAAAAAATGTAGTGAATGGATCAATCAAATTGATTCAAGCTTTGGGAAAGGTGCTAAAATGTTATCATTTCTGTTTTGCCTTGGATAAAAAGTGATGGAAAATTCTGTATATGAGGCAGCAGCGCTGACCTTCTTATCATGATAGCTCCTCAAAATCTTGGTTTATATCTCTCAATAACCCAAACAAGAATGGTAGACACAATATTTGCTGGACACAAGGAGAGTTATAATGCCTCATATTAGAAAGACATATAGGAGAAGGCTATCAATATGATGTATCACTTTTACATTTTATTTAAAATATGGTGGGAGCAAACAGTTTGATCCTAAAAAGATAACCAGGTTGAGACATGTTAGTACCAGGAGACCCCAGAAAGCCTCTGAGTTGGACACTACAGTTAACAGATAACAGATAATCAAAGTTGGAAGGTCTATCCTGGTTTATATATTTCCAACCCAAATAGCTGTTAAGTTACATTCCTAACACAGAGCATTTATTTGTTGAAATTTGAAGTTGCCATTTGTTTGACCATTCTGATACATACTCACAGTCTTTTTGAAGGGTAGCAGTATTGTCTGTGGTGTTGAATAGCTTTACATCATCATCGAAGAGAATGCAGTTCCTCTTGATATGATCACAGAGGTCATTTATGTAGAGTATGAAAAGAGTTGGTCCTAGAACACTGCCTTGGGGGACACCACTGTTGACAGATACAGAATTTGATAGGACACTCCCAATTTTGATCATTTGTTGTCTGACAGGAATGCTTCTATCCAGTTATGCAGGTGTCCAGAGATACTGTAAGATTTAAGTATTAGGAGTAGTTTGTTGTGTACTACTGAATCAAAGGCTTTACAGAAGTCTATGTAGATTGTGTGTATTGCTTTCCCCTGATCGAGTTGTGTAGTCTATATGTTTTTGCAGTGTAAGAGTTGCAGATTACATGATAGTTTTTTCCTGAAACCAAATTGTTTATTAGAGGGTAGGTTGTTTGTTTCTAAGTGGAGGATGATGGATTGGTTAATAATTGATTCCATGACTTTACAGCTGATGCAGTGTAAAGAGATTGGTCTGTAATTTTCAACCAGGATGGGGTCTCCCTTTTTGAAGATGGAGATGACCATGGCTTGTGACCATAGTTTTGGCAAGGAGCTGGTCCTGAAAGATTTTTCAAAGATTATGCTTAGAGGTTCGGCTGTGGCTGTGGATAGCTTTTTTAAGAAGTAGGCACATATTCCATCCGGTCCAATAGATAGAGATGGTTTTAGATTGCATAGTGCTTTTTCAACAATGTCTTCTGTAAAATCGATATGTATTAGATCATTGTAGTTGTCTGTGGTTTGACTAGGAAATACTGGGCATGATCCATTGCTGTTTACAAATATTGAGCCAAAGAATGTGTTAAAGAGATTGGCTTTAATAGTGTCGTCGTTGCAGTCTTTACCACTAGGTCCTTTCAGGAGTGGGATGGACTTTGAGTCTTTTAGTTTGTTGTTTAAAAAATTGTAGAAAGTGTGGGTGGAATTGGTGCATAGAAGATTTTCTTCTTGTTTAATATGATAATTGGTGCATTCAGTCTTTATCTGGTGACATAAATTTTTGTATCAGCTTTTGAAGTTGGCAATGTGACCAGATTTGTTTTTCCACCAAAGTGATTTCTTTTTGGATTGGAGCTTCCTTATTGTTATGAGTAATTTGTTTTTTCTGGTTTTGGGAATTGTTATTGGTACATATAGTTTGATGATTCTTTTGACTTCAAGTAAAAATATGTTGTAATGGTCTTCAACAGTATTGCATCCAGTGAATAGAAATTGCCAATCAAGAGATGAGAGATCGTTGTTTATAAGATCATAGTTGCCTTTTTTGAAGTTATAATTGGGGATTCCGTCATTGAGAATGATTTTTGTGTGGACATATGTTGAGACAAAAGTCAATGATGTTGTGGTCACTGTTGGAAAACGGTTCTTTAATTTGTATTCTGTAAATTGAATTCAAACTATTGCAGAAGATGAGATCGAGGCAGTTGTTAAGTCTAGTATTGTTGGTTACTAGTTGTTCTAGTCCCAGATTTGTTACTGCATTGTAGAAAGTTGCATGTGTGGGTTCAGTTGTACATTCATTAAGGGTCTAGTTAATGTGAGGTAGATTGAAGTCACCAAGAAAGATAAAAGTGTGTGGGCAGGATGCTGTCCATGTTAGTAGAATATTTAGCTTGTTTGCA